AGTTATTATTATAATTAATAATATAATAAATAAATAAATTATTAAATAAATCTATGGCTTCTGGCCTTGGCGTTGAACGCCCGCTGGCCCGGTAACTCTCAACCACGAAATTTCAGTTCGGCGGCCTCATCTCGGTGCCTCTAGTTAGGCGACCTCAGCCCAGCCTCCGTCTGGGGAAACCCAGCCCTCAGTCTGGTGATTTTAACCCACGATCCACAGTTCGGTGACGCTGCCCAACTTTCATTTTTTTGGCGGACAGCACCAGCCTCGTCGCAGTTCCAGCCCCTCTCTCTTCGTCCTCGTTTATCCACCGGCCAACTAAAGCTCGGATTCTTCTGCAAAATCGGGCCCTCGTTCACCAGCAACGATGACCTGAAAGCGAGCAGCGTGAAGAGAGAGATGGAGGGGGGATTGAGGAGGTGGAGAGACGACGGATGGCGGAACGTGCAGGAGGCGGTGGCGGGAAAGAGAGCACGACAGATGGAGAAAAAGGGCGACGGCATGTCGGAGGGTCAGTGTTTATTGTGTTTTTGTGTTTATTTCTATGTGTTTTTGTGTGCTTTCGAGTCGATTTTATATTTATTTTAGTGTCGACCGGTCCATTTTCTCGTTTATCGTGTGTCTTTATGTTTTTGTTGTTTATTTTATATTTTGGCGTACTTTCCCGTACTTTTGCTATGAATTTCAGGTTTATTCCGGGATAGAGATGGAGAGAGAATCGAGCCACATTTCGAGATATGAGCAGTTTATGAAATAGTCGAGTTTCCGAGAAGTTTTGAGCCATCGTGCACGAGACATTTCCACGGCCGAGTTTTCCGAGCCTTAGTCAATTCCAAAGTCCAAGCAGCTGCCGCACGCCGCGTGCCCGCGCGCCTTTCCGCGATGCCGAGAGCCCCCGCCAGCCACACGTCGCGTGCCCGCACGCCTTTCCGCGATGCCGAGAGCATGCCCGCGCCCATCCGAGCGCCCGCCGAGGATTCCGCGCCATCGAGAGCATGCCCACGCCCATCCGCGCGCCCGCCGAGAATTCCGCGCCATCGAGAGCTACCCTTACCTGCGCACGCGCGACGTCGCCCCACTACCTGCGCCATCGAGAGCATCCCATGCCGTGCGCGCGAGCCCGCTACACTATCCGCGCCGTCGAGAGCACACTGCCCATCACTACGCGTGCTCGCGAATTTCTGGGCAACGTCGAGAGTGTCGTTTTAAATCTGCGTTTTTCACTATGTGTTTGTGTGAGTATAAATACTTTTTGGCCTTTGTATTTTGGGGATATCTAGCTCATTATGAAATGTTTCCTCTTTTGGTTATTAGCTTAAGTCTTTTATTTTCCCTCTAGAGTAAGGTGAATGTTCTTGACATTTTCCGGCGACTTTTTCCGGTGACTTCTCGTTTATGCAAGTTTTAATCTTTTTCTTCCGATTTCGATCAAGCATGCGTTAGGGATGTGAGTACTTACTTTTAAGCCTTGTGATCTCGATTTTCGTACTTACTTGCTATCTCGTGCGTAGAAGTAATTAAAGCTTGCTCGGTTGTCGGATTTTTAGTAGCTATTTTAGTTGTTTTAATTTTCTTTACTTTTGTGAGCTCGTTTATGATGCTTGGAGTTGATTGATTGATTGATTGCTATTTGAAAAATCGTGACTTTATCTTTAGCTCGGTTATTTCGTGGTAGGATTTCGATTTTAGCTATCAACCATGTTAAATGGAGTTCGTTTCTCTTACTTTCGCTTTTGTTGCTCTTGATTTTGCTCACCGGATTAGTTGCTAGAGTCCCATAGTTCGTCCACTTGCTCGTTGCTCGTTTACTTGCTTTCACTAGTCGTAATTAGTGTAAATCAACCTCAACCCAAATTGATTAGTATGTTTAGGACTTTATTTTCCATTTTTGTGATTTGAGCGATTGAATAGTGAGTAAAGCTCCGAATAGCCTTCCCTCGAGATTGACCCGAGTCGGGTAGCTCGGTTACCAATTGCCCATCAAATCTATATTAAACAGTCAGGAGCTTATCCTTCATTTTTTTCTTTGAATTTCTCCTATAGATGTCCCGAGTTGCCCCATTTGCGTCTATAGGCGTTTGAGAGAGGCTTGAATCGGTGTCACTCCTTTATTAGTGTTGTGCAACTAGAGAGGTTGAGGCTAAAAATTGAAGACACTTCTCCAAGCTTTCAATCCAGGTATCTGAGGACTCAACTCTAGCATCTTTCTCTGCTCCGGTGGAGGTTGCATTGGATGCCTTTGGATGAAACCACCACATCCTCGTGCATATCCTTGGAATTCCAGCCTCGGTTGGTAGCCTTGGAACTCGTTCCTCGGTTGAAATGTCCGGTATTGAGGAGGTGCAAAGACTTGAGGCGTGGCATAAGCTTGAGGCGGTGTCGGTTGTGGCGTAAAGTTCACCTTCAGGTCCCTCCAAGAAAAGTCCTTCACTAGGGGTTATAAGTGTTCGAATAAGGATAGTTTGGGACTAGAGGAGCATACCCCTCGTGGATCTCTGATTAGTCGAATGAGCCCATCCCTCTGGCCTATCATTTATGGGTCGATCCGGCTGGCGCGCACAACTTTAACATCAAAAGGGACCCCTTCAAGATTCGGGTCATAGGTCGGCTCCATATAACTCGGGCATTCATGGGTTTCGTGCCCCATTTCTCCACAACTTCCACATACCTTTGCCATAGCTATTTGAGTCGATTTTTCATCTCATAGGCGAAGGTACTTGAGTTCTTCCTCCAACGTGGCCAACTTGGCCAAAACGCATCATTTGTCGAAGAGCCGGATGAAGGATCGGTTTCATTCACGGAAACTCGCTTTCGGACACTCTTCCTTTAGGAATTTTCGCTCAACATCACATACAAGTCATAAATCTCCTCCTCTGTATGGCTCCTTATATCTTCTTCGGCGGCTTGATTCACCATGTATTGAAGCGTTTGATGAAGGTCGTTGTAGAAGAATTGGTTCAAGACCCCGAGACAGAAGTGATGACGTGGGCATTGGAGTTGATAACCTTTGAACCGTTCCCACGCCTCGTGGAAGGTCTCTCCGGGATTTTAACTAAAACTAGCCATTTTAGCACAAAGATCCTTCGTCTTTTGATGGGAGTAGTACTATTCCATGAATTTCTCGTAGACGGCTTCCCAATTGGTAAGCGAGTTCGGGAGTAGTGTCATGAACCATGTCTTAGCTCCATCCTTCAATGTGTATGGGAAACAACGCATTCGGAGTTGGTTCTTGGTAAGGCCTTGTAGAGGAAAGGTATTAACTGTAGAATAATTCCAGGATAAAATTTAGAACATCCTCTTGCGAGAGACCATAAAACAAAAGGAGTTGATTTAGATGAATCATCTTGAGATCGTAGTCTCGGGCTGCCTCTCTGAGCACGAAGCATTAGGTGTTGTTGCCAATGATATGCCGAGCAAAGTATCTCATGTTCGGAGGTGGCGGTGGTAGTTGCTCTTCTTGATTCGCCATTGTTGCTGGCTCGGGTTTTGGCTCGTCTATTTAAGCTAACGTATAGATCGATTGGTGGTGTCTCCTCTCAGGTTCCACGTCCTCGTCTACCTCGCATAAATACAAACAATACGCTATACCCGTGAATGCACCAATGGGAAACAAGATCCAAACAAACACAATCTAACTACCAAAAGCAAAAGAAAGCAAGAGAAACATAGGAATTAATCTAGGCCTAATTGCCGGTAAAATCATGACCTTACAACTTTTTGCCGTTTTAACCAAACTTTTGAAATTTAGCAAAATAACATAACTTTGTCTATTTTTTAACAATTCGAATCACCGGGCCGAAAATTTTATGTCTTACTTGCCATAGCTTTGACTACATTTTTGACTGGCCAGGTTGACCAGAGCGGATTGAGGCGAGCAGACATCTATACCCCCGACCTGGCCCGTTTACGCAACTGGATGGAACCACACTAACCTATTTTGGTAACAGGACAAGTCCAACACACCCCAAATGTTGCGAGTCGGGCCTAGCCGGGCCGGACCGAGTCCCAACCAAATTGTCATCCTATATACAATAAAGAATATTATCTAAACACTGGACTTGTCCGATTATGCAAAAAAGCAACGCGTGGAGCAATAATTTAAAATGGGCTGACAGTGAAATTCCCTGCTTGTATCGCCAAGACAAAGTTGAAATAGAACCGAAGCACTTGACGTTGATATCCATGAATTCACACACACACACACACACACACACAGAGTTGGATATGTATATTTATCACCTATTGCACTACTGAATAAGTGGGCCCCACAAATTGCCATCAACCAAACCAAAGACAATGTGCATCAGTTCACCAAACAATGAGGACCCTCCACCACCGCCTACTTTGCCAAAGTTTATTTGGATTTTACCGACTCGACAAAGTCGGTGACACCCCACCAATTTGTGTCGCTCTCTCTCCATTGTCTAGTTTCCACTATCAATTGACGTCGTCTTTTTTACATATAAGAAATGTTACGGTCTCGTTACAATATCATCTCGTCGAGTGTTTTAACAGTTGGATTCTAAACTGGAACGGAGATCTAACTAATCTGATTACTAAATAAACCGAACCATAAAAACACGCAACGATGTCGCAAAATTCAAACCAAAGCTCATAACAACGTATTAGCTTCGCAAAAAAATATATGACACCGTGCATCAAGAAGCCAAGATAACCAGCACGGGAATTAATGCCTGAAGCGTACAAAAAGGATAAGAATAATGAACTACTTTGAATTATAGAGTACAAAAGAAAGAAACATATTGCCCAGGCTGGGCTGGGTTTCTCTTCAGTACAGCCCAGATTTTGATTAACGAAAAATTGAAAACTCATGTTGTAATAATCAATAAATGATTAAAATTGATTACATTTTTTTGAAAAAATTAATAATAATAATAAATAATATTAAATTCATCATTGTATCCCATAAAACTGGCCAACTCCAAGATTGCCGCCAGACCCTTTCCAGCAGCAAAAGAGGAGGGTCTGTTTGGCTTTGGCTAGACTACGAGCTGATCGAGACGCATCTGCTCAAGCCAGGCTCCCAAAACAGTGTGATCGATGGAGTCAGTCTGAGAGTTAGTATTATGATTATTCAAACACTCACCGGATGCTGGCTGCTTGTCCTTGTCCATCTCAGGTGGTGATTCTTTCACGAGGGACTGCACCCAAGAAAGGTCTGGTTCTCCTCCTCCTCCTTCCACCCCATCATCATTCTTCTTAAGCTCAAAAGATGACCAGTCAGCTTTCCCATTATTATTGGGAGATAGCCAAGCAGCAGAAACAGGGCCGTGGTGGTGGGACCCAAGCTCCCGAGAGCTGAAACTACGGCGCTCCCGCTGGGCAATGGCTGAGAGAAGGGAACTCTGCTCCATGCTTCTGGGGGACGAAAAAGGGCCTTGCAACAAAGGGTTCTCCAAATTTCTAGGAGAAAAGACTAAATTAGTGTTGATGTTCTGTTGCTGCTGCTGCTGCTGAAACTGGTTGAGAATGGCCGACTTGTGGGAGGGAGAGAAAGCACCAAAAGCTGCATCGGAAAATCTAGGGGATGAACCCATCTCAGCCGAAAAAAGCTCTTCAAGATTGGATGGAGCAAGTGCAGCCTTGGGACGGTTCACCGACCCACCACCACCCAACATGGTGGAATTCTGAAAACGCACCAGGTCATTCAAGACCAGCTGCTGGGTCTCGTAATCATGCAACAGGTTCAGATCCTCGGGCGGTATGTCCCGAGCGCTGAGAGAACACCTCAGCCTGCTCGACTGGAGATTGCTGCCGGGTAGATGAAGAGTGGGAACATTCGGCAGAGGCCAAGCCGGGGAAGGATGAGACATACCATTAGGAGACATGGCCGCCTGGTTAAAAACAACAGAGGGAGACATCACAGACTGTGAAGTCGGTGAACCAGGAAATATGCTCAGGGCCGAGGCCATATCCATGAAACTTGGGGTCGAGGCAGAAGATCTCGGTGATGGCACACCGGAACCTGTAGATACGTACAAAGGACGGAGTTCCTCATGCGTGTGCGCAAAAAAGCACACCTGTCGGGCACAGCTAGTGCCATCCTTGCAGAGGCGAGTACGGTACTGGGCCGGGTGGAGCCAGCACTCAAATACACCATGGGCGTACTCGCACATATCCCCGCGCCTGCAGGCGCCCTTCCGGAATTCAGGGCACGGGACACAGCTGTAGTGAAATTTCCGTGGGTCACGCCGGCGAGCATTCTCGCCTGGGTGGACAAAGGGGCACTCGGTCCAGTCGTGGGAGTAGGCTCTCGAGCAAGGCCGGACTTTGAATGAGAACATTCGGAACTCATCGGTCGAGTATATGCTGTTCCGGATGTCAGGAAGAGACGGGTCAACTGGATACTGTTTCTTTTCCATGATAGAGTTCATGGCTGGAACCTTTGGTGCTGTGGGGGATGACAAGGAGTAGGATGGAGAAAATGGGGAACGGCTTTCAGAGGATGACGATAGCACTGGTGAAGACACGTTTGAGCTAGATATGGAGACCCGTAGATTGCAATCCCCAACCGACCCATCAAAACTATTGTTCACGAGCAAGTCCTCAATGGCGGCTTTCCCACCAGGAAGCTTCAGAGGGGCTACGATTACATCTGCCGGGCGTCGGCCACTCAAGTCCATAACATTGGGGTCGGCACCAGCAGATAACAGAAGCTTAATTACATCATAGGCATTGGCAGAACACCCAAAAGCAGCACAGTGGAGAGCAGTCCACTTGTCACGGCCACACAACCTGTTAAGATCAACTTCAGGAAGAGCAACTATCAGCTTCAGCACGTCAAGGCTTCCATAGGTTGCAGCTACCATCAGCGGAGTTCGTTCTTCCGAGGTGATATGCTTTGAACCCATCTTGCGGACATACCAAGGTCCAGGCTCATCGACACAGGACAGGTCAAGCTCAATGGATCTCTTGAAAGCTTCAACATCGTTGTTGGCAGCATATTCAAGCAAGTTGCAAAATGGATCACCCGTCTCTTCGGATAACTTGGTGAAGCCCATGTTATTCGATGCTTTGTCAGAAGGTTTCTCAGTTGTGGAAGAAGTTAGATTTGACCGCTCCAGCCGACTGCACATACTCTAGTCAACTGCAAGTCAGCATAAATTTGTCATGCGAAACAATTTTGGTGGATGTATCCCCTAAAAGAATAACACAAAGAAAATATGATAAACTAATGATAAGAAAATTAAAAGGACCAGGAAGGGTATTTAAAATATTAAATTGTTTATACACATCGATAATTCATCTGGGAAGCTTAAATTTTTAACTCAATTACAGAACAAATTCCAATAGTGACAGATCTACGATATGAAAAAAGACTTGTTTTTTATTCTATTCAATTGAATATTTTCCAAAAGCAAGAGCAACCCCATCCCTCTCTTTCCTTTTTTCGTCCCCAAATCAATTAAACTAGAACTCTAATTTCTGCCCTTTTTTCTAATTCTAAAGCTCTACAGTCAAAGACACAGTAAAAAATGTACGGCAAAGGCAAAAATATTAAAGAACAAAGCACACCGTCATACCTAAGATCACAGTGAAATAACAGGCAACCAAGTTTATGCAACACAGCATATGCAGGATGTGTATTACAACCCTCACATCAAACTAAGATACAGAAACAAAGTAAACTTCTTCATATATGTTATCTAAAGCTACTCCCTTTAGAAAGAAGAACCACAAATTTTCATTTCAGAAACAAAAGAACAGAAAAGCCATCAGATGCAACCAATTAAGCATGACGTCCACATCAAGTAACCAAGAACTAATCACCCAAGGACAAAACTTATAATTTCCTAAGGACAAAATTTAAGTAGCCAAAAAATAGCATCTAACTTTACACTCCATATATATATTACCAAAAAAAAAAAAAAAAA